AAATCGGAGGGGGAGACGAACCATGAGAGACTGTGGACTCTGAAAAACAAACTGAGGGTTCTAGAGGGGAGGGGATGGGGGAATGGGTTAGCCTGGTGATGGGTATTGAGGAGGGCACGTACTGCATGGAGCACTGGGTGTTATATGCAAACAATGAATCATGGAACACTACATCAAAAAAAAAATTAATTAAAAAAACAAAAACAAAATACATCAACCAAATGATACCGAAATTGGGGGAGAAATATACAATACAGATGACAAATACCAAAGAGCTCTTAGAAGCAACATGAAAAAATTAGTTTCTCTGGAGCAAAACAAGGTACACATGAAACAGGCAACTCGGAAGAGAATAAAAATGACCAGAAATATGAAAAGGTAATCTTATCGGTAATAAAAAAAAATGCAATTCACTCTATTTCATCCCTCAGAATGACAAGAAGCAATCAGACAAGTGGTAAAGGTATACACATAATGATTTCAAAGTGTTAAAGTCCACCAAAAGGGTGCAGTTTAAAGAAATTCTAGTAAACTGGAGTTGTAACACTACGTACCACACAGAATCACACACCCACCACACAGAGAGAGCTTCACACATTAAGAGGAAAAACAGGTTACCTAACAGCACATAAATGATATGCTCCCCATCCTTAAACACTGAAAAACATCTGAAAAGGTATTTATCAAAATGTTGAAATGGTATTTGCGGGTGTGGGATTATGGTTTTCATTTTTCCTTTATGCTTTTCTGCATTTTTTTCCCCAACTGCTAACATCATTTTATGACTTGCAAGGCACTTACCTAGTAAGGCTGTGTTTTCACCTGCATCGTCTTTGAAACTGGCATCACACTGTGGTGCAGAATCACTAGTGGAAGCCGATGGCAAACTGCTCCCCTCACTTCTGTCATCTTGTAAAGTAATACTCAAATTTGCAGCCAAAACACTCCCAAGGGGAGGTTCTGGAGTAGGCATCTCCTGCACATCCTCAAGCTCTCCCTTGAGAGAATAAAAGAAAATACCTTGTCTGAGTAACACAATCAAAGCTTATCTATCATTTCATGATCATTACTCACAATTCCTACAAAGTATTTACTTTTATACACAGAATATGGCAAGAACACTAATGTCTTCTTCATTTAGCAACATCAGAAAATGAATTACTTCTCAGTAAGCCGCTTTCCAAGAGCTAAACACTGTGCATTTGAAAAACCACTTTTCCCCTTGATGCAAGCAATGCCACCTTTTAAGCTCTTTACTGACAGTAAGTGAAGCTTTGTCGGAGACACGCTTTCCTCACTTCCTGGACAGAGGGTGCAAATCAGCCTGGCTGTGGCCGTGAGCTTGAATTAATGCCTCTAACTGCCCTACTGTCTTACTGCGGGTACCAGGGTTTCGGAAGAACACAGTGTCTGACAACAGAGGGCTTCAGATTGCATTTGATTCACTTAAAAAGAATCAGTTGTGGCTCCCTAAAGACAGTCTGTCGGCTGTCAGTGCACCTCCAGCTCCCCCATTTGCTGCGTCAAAGAAAAAAATAGGATAAGGAAAGTGACAGCCCAGTCTCAAACAGAGGTTTATCCAGATACCTTTCTGATTAATGCCAGAGTCAGAGCCATGCTGTGAGAGAGGAAACCACTGGTGAGGTCACCTAGTAAAGGAGCGGGGGCTGCTGGTTTACAGTGAGACTGAGCTTCACGTGAGAACATGGTGCTGGCTCCACCTCCCTCCTCCTCCACCTCAGCGGGCCTGCTCCTCCCACTGCCGCTCCACCCAGTTCTAGAACCGCCCTCTTCCCGAACCACATGCTACACTGCTTCCTTCTCACTGGTAAGTAACTGAACACCCTCAGAACAGACTCTGGACACACCAAGCCACAAATCCTACAGAGTTGCCATACTGTCCAAACTCCCACCCAGCCCACCCTCATCTGTTTTCCCAGATAGTTACCAAAATACCCACCAAACTTAACCACCTGCCAGTCTCAAAGCCCCCATGGTCACACCCTCATCTGCAATATACTGATCTGTCAGGCAAATCCTTTAACACCCAGCTCAGACTCCCCTCTTAAAAAACCACCCTCTTATCGTCCCACTCCACCTGGCGGAGTAAATTCCTCCTTTCTCTGTGCTCCTCAGCACTTCAACATACCTCCTTTGCAGCGTTGTGTGTGGGTGTATGCCCTGGCCCCCACAGTCCAGAAAGTGAAAGTCCACAACCAGAAGGGCTGTATCTTACTCATCTTTGTCTCCCCAAGTCAAGGTCCAATCTAGCACCTGAGAGAGCACTCCTTTGATACATGCTTGCTGAATGAATGAAAACAACAGTGACAAATGGCACACCGAGAAGGTTGTAGCTGCCAACGCAAGGACCACCTCTCAAGTCCACATGAAGGACTGATGGCAGCCCTCTGACCACAGCTGTTTCCTTGGGAGTGAGAACTAGTTGCCACACGACAGTGTATCATCACTGTCTACAAAACCCAATGCAGGAGGGGCAAAGGGACTAAAGAAAATGGCACACTCGTCAAAAATTGTAAAACAACTAAGGGCAAGACAAGCTAATTTCTTAGAGTTTGACTTAAAGTTACTACAGGTTTCTGTTCTTCAAAAAAGAAATCATGGGGCGCCTGGGTGGCTCAGTTGGTTAAGTGACTGCCTTTGGCTCAGGTCATGATCCTGGAGTCCCGGGATCAAGTCCTGCATCAGGCTCCCTGCTCAGCAGGGAGTCCGCTTCTCCCTCTGACCCTTCCCCCCTCTCATGCTCTCTCTCTCTCATTCTCTCTCTCTCAAATAAATAAATAAAATCTTTAAAAATAAATAAATAAAAAAGAAATCACACTTCCTGGGGTCCTAGGCAAGCTTTCTGAAATTAACATTCTAACAAAGTAATCCAACCCGATGCAAAAAGAATAATCTTCATTTTTAATGTATGAAATACATATATGTAGATGTAGTTCCAAAAACAAAACTCATGAGGATTAATCTCAGTGCTAATGTTCGTGAAATACCCTTACAAAAATTTCTAGAAATGAAAAGCAGGTTTAAAACTACTGACTATGAAGAAAGTAACTTAAAATGAGCTTCAGTGTGCACCTAATGAAGGAAAAGAGGAAGGAGAAGAGGAAAAAGGAAAACTTTGCCAAGAAAAACATCTGTTGAGTTCCCTGTATTGTACTGTTTAAAATGCTTAAAATCCCAGGAAGGTGTCTACGACACAGGCTCAGTTCACTAAGTCTCAAATTCACTGTTATGCCCTGCTAAATAGACCCATCATTATTAAAAACTATAAATAAATGTTAGAAATTCTAGAGGAAAGACAAATTTTCTAGACATCAAAGCAGGTAAGTTTTCTTTCGGTAAGAGGTCTTGAATGCTGACCTTCCTCCTTTCCTGTACCTGTGGTGGGGGCATTCTGAAACTCACACTTGAAAAATATAATTCTTAGGGGTGCCTGGGTGGCTCAGTCGGTTGAGCATCCTTTAGACTTTTGGATTTCGGCTCAGGTCATGTCTCATGGGTCGTGAGATGGAGCCCTGTGTCGGGCTCTGAGCTCAGTGGGGAGTCTACTTGAAGGTTCTCTCCCTCTGTCCCTACCCCCAACTCGTGCATGCATGCACACTCTAAAATAAATAAATCAATCTTAAAAAAAAAAATAGAAAAATCAAATTCATAGATAATTACAGTGGTAATCAAGGCAGCAGTCTCTCAACTATCTTTCCAAGACCCGCCAAGCTAGAAGATGAGAGGACTCCTTGAGGGTTACTGGGGCTGTAAGGTGCATGAAATGTTTATCACAGAAAAAACTCCTTGTGGTTTCTAACTCTACCATAAACACTATAAAAAAAAAACCCTAAAAAATTAGGTTTAGCAATAAGAGAAGTATGTGATATTTAAATTACTTCTTCTAAATTAGTAAGATCATTATTTCAAAACTATTTGCTATTTAATCAAGAATATTTTAAGACACTGATTATATGAAAACTCTAAAAACAATAAAAAAATAATGATCTAGAAAAATCTGTTTTTTTTCCTCTACGTCTTCCCCTTTTGGGTGGGACTACTGGTTAAAAGCTTGTATCCAGGAATTAAGCAAACCTGTATCTGAAAGCAGATTCCCAAATAACTAGCTGTGTGACCTTTGGTGACTTACTCGGCTTTTCTAAGTTCAAGTTCCTAATTAGTAAAATAGGGAGAGAAACAGTACTTACCTCCCAGAGTGGCTATGAGGGTATGACATAATAATGTACGTAGGCCCTCAGCACATGGCTGGCTACTATGAAGCACCCTCTTTCACTCTGCCCTCATGTCTTTGTTTTCGGAGGAAGGTCTTACGACCACCTAAGTACCACAACCCAATGGAGCAAATACCACACAGAATCAATCTCCCTAGCAGGATTTGATTTCCAAACCCAGAAATCTGAGACCTGGTGTCAAGAAGTGTGGCTTCAGTTTCCTCATATGTAAAATATGCATCTTGAGCCAGAAAATGTATGAGGCTCCTTCCATTTCAAAGATTTGATAATTCTTGTTCATATGAAACTGACGAGTATGTATACATTCTACAGGGCAGCATACCAATATATCGCTCTAAGCAATTACAAACTCTCTGGGGGAAACATACAGCATATCAGTCTATAATCACAAAGGCAGTAGCTCGTTAACTTTATGGAATGTCTTAAACATTCATTTTTAATCAAGAGGAAAATTTCTTCAGGGAACCACAAAGACGTTAGAAGGAGCACTTAGTCCATTCCTCTTGGCTCTGGTCAGTAATGAAATTGAATCACTCAGGAAGAACTGGGGCAGAGATTGAATATAAACAAAAATGTAACAAACCCAATATCCCAGGGCTTTGATGACATCAAGTTTACACATTGGACACGTGCGGTGATCCAAAAGCCATGGGTCAATGCATATTCTATGAAAAATATGCCTAAAAAAATTAAGTATGTGTTAATTTTTTAAAATAAATGTTTATATCTTATAAAGGAAACAACACATTCTACTGACTCATCTTCTCAGTGCAAGTTAAACGACTTCAAATCAACATTCTAGTCTATTCACTTACTCTATGTAATTATCTGTTCTACTTTCCACGTTAAACAGAATCTGGAACTTACAGGGAAATTTTCCCTTCACTCCACAAAAATAGCATGGTTTATTTTCGCTTCATGGTAGGCTGTATTTTTCTTTGCATCTGTAACTTACTTAAAAGCCGTTTGGGAATAAATGTGGCATAAGTAAACCAATAGTCAACTAATAATAATAAGCTGAGAGTATCTTACATAAGTTCAGGAAATGAATCAAATGGGAATACAACAAAATATAAACAGATCATCTCTGGGTTTTAGGCTTAAAAAAAAAAAAACACTTATTTTGTCTTAACATATTTTTGTATATTCCACGTTCTTCTATAATAATAACTTGCAGAATTGAAGAAAGAAGAAATAACAATTCCCTATGTATTTTCTTTTTACTGACTTGTCTTAGTCGGCTAGCTTTGCCTCCTATGTGGTGAATCTGTTTTCCACACAGGATAGAGATGAGGAGTCAGGCAGAGGGGGTACAGGACCCATGGCTCCCATGCCAGCTGTGTGATGCAATGCTGGGACTCTGATCTAGTTGCTTAACCTCTGCACCTCCACTGCAGGCTGTTCTCAGCAGCAAATATGTAACGTGCTCACAGCAGTGCTGGGCACAGTAAATACTGAGTAACTGTCCATTATTCATGCTGTTGTGTGAAGATCTCTTCTTCATACTGAAGTCTGCTAGTGCAGTTAAAAATAACAGTACTTAATTACATAACATAGTCTAGCCTAGCTAATCTTCTGACCTTTCCATCCTCAAACTGAAACTGAAACTGACTGACCCAAAGGAATAATTTTTACAAAAACACAAAGGAAACATGTTGGCTTTATTGGGAAATCTGTTAAATAAAGCATGGGAGAAAATGAGGGGAAATTAAGTAAAAACCCCAGATCAGGAGACCAGGAAATGTGCACAATCAACATGTCTGCTTGTGAGGGTCAAGCACAAAACCCAGCTCAGCCATCAGGACAGATCTGGTGTTGCAAAGGAAGTGAGCCTCAAGGCCGCTCATCTGTGCTGCATCCCAAGCATCATTTTTAAGTCACAAAGACTTGCCCTAAACCATCCTAGATAAAAATTCTTTTCTATTTTAATAATTTTCCACAGGACATACTGACTCCAATTCATTAAGTACCCACCCACCAACCTCAAATAAAAGCCTGTAGACCGAAGTTAGCTATCTTTATTCTGGAAACTTTTGTTATTCTGATATTCATTTGTTTTCTCTATAGAATTACTGAGAACTTAATCTACTATAGAGTACTCATATATATATATACTACTTTGTAAACATAAAGCAAACCGTAATTGCATATTAATTTCTGACCTGCTTCTAATAGGTGGGAAGCATAATTAAAATTGATCAGACTGAAAGCACAGTATAATTTTTATACACCCTTCTGATAAAGCCATTCTTCTAAACAGTTATCAGTTAATTAAAGTATCCCATTAAAAAGAAAAAAAAAGGAAATCGCAACTTCCCATTGCTAAAGCAAAGCCCCTAGTGTATCTAAAGTGAAAAATATTTATTTTGCAGAACCCCCAAAAGAACTAAAACCCAGGGTGCAAATAATAGCAAACCACTACCCTCCTTGACTTTCTGCTAGCCATTTCTGGCCCTCCCCCTGGGGTCCTTCACCGGTCATGCTTCAGTTTCCTTGCTCCCACACAATGTATGTTTTGAATGGCTAAATGTATGATGGAATTCTCAGGATTCTAATAAAGCCTTGCTTAAGACTAAAAGCCAATCCATGGCAAAGATTTATAATGGGTCTGTCTTAGGGCCTGAGGTCTCCTAAGCAATTTTAAAGTAATATAATCCAGGAGCCTAGAAGGCTTAAAGCTTCCTTCCTAAAGGATGAGATGATCACAAGATCATCACATGATAAAAAGATCCTCACATCATAAAAGACACATTAACACTCTTGTCAGAAACCTGAAGCTTATCCAGTAATTTGTAGCATCTTAGGAAGGAAAAAAAACATACTTGCATGGCAGAATTCTGATAATGTCCTTTACTTTAAAATTTTCAATACACACTGCACAGTTTTCAGCATCAACATCAATTCCCTGTAAAAAGGAAAGAAAAGAATTCACTATATCCTTTGCTACGTGGTCGATCTTGATAAAACTCACAACGTCCTGGGTAAAACAATGACAAATTTTGTACTACCAGGGTACAACCAGAAGCTAAACACAGTCTCTACTCAGTATTTACTTCTTACCACTGTCCAGAGATTATTTAAAGAATCTGGCTGAAAAGGAAAAAATGTCATTACATAATCAGGCACGAGCAGTTTTGATACTAAGGTAGTGTTCATGTTTTAAGGGTTGTAGAAATGCAAATGCCTACTTTAATAAAAATTATTTTTCAAATATAAAACTTGTAAAGAGAATATCCAATAAACTACTTGTTTCTAGAATCATTAAAAACAAAAACAAGAGCACTTTCACTAGAATTTGCTAAAGAACATAGTTACAACTTGCAAATGAGAAAACACAAATGGCTAAATATCTGAAAATATTCCGCCTCACTAGTGATAAAAGAATTACGGATTAAAATAAATTACTGTTTTTCATCTATCAAATTAACAAAGGTAAAAAGAAATAAAACTTGCCAGGGAGGAAGTAGTCCCTGGCAAAATTTGTGACAAAATTTCCACTGCTGCTAAGAATCTATGATGGGTCATCGACCTTTTTGGTGGTGTCAGCCTTTCCCCCATTCCCCTGGGTACCCCCATCGAATCACCTGGCCTCACCCCATCAAAGCAGGCACAGCCAGAGCAGTCATCTGACCCAAGACAGGTCAGTGAGACTCTCTTTGATTCTGGGATGGATTCAAGAACTACCAGTCAGTGTCTGCATGTAGCTCCAACATTAGCAAGTGTATTTTATGGGAACACAGCTACCCTGTCCTTATGTAATTATTTTAAAAATACACTGAGCCATGTATATCACTTGTTAGCAAGCAAGCAGTAAAAACTGATGATTGTTATCAAAGACTGTATTAAAATTCTGTAACACTTAAAATTGTATGTTGCTAAAGTAAATATTATCATCTATCATATGCCATACAAAACTGATGAAACAATTTTTAAAGTCTCTAATGGTCTGTAAGCTTATACATTACTGTGAATGAGTCCATAAGAAAAGAAAAACTAGAAACCAGGGCACCTGGGTGGCTCAGTCGGTTAAGCGGCTGCCTTCGGCTCAGGTCATGATCCCAGGGTCCTGGGATCGAGCCCTGCGTCGGGCTCCCTGCTTGGCAGAGAGCCTGCTTCTCCCTCTACCTCTGTCTGCCATTCTGCCTACTTGTGCTCTCTATCTCTGTTAAATAAATAAATAAATAAATAAAAATCTTAAAAAAAAAAAAAGAAAAGAAAAGAAAAACTAGAAACCAAACACCTGTCTCTAGAACTGGACAAGATGTAGATTTAAGAAAACACAACAATTTTTCTGTACAAATTTAATCAAAATCATCAGAAAATCCATGTGTGTGGCACCTGGCTGGCTTGGTCAAAGGAGCATGTGATGCTTGGTCTCAGGCTTAGAAGTTCAAGCCCCATATGGGGTGTAGAGGATACTTATTAAAAAAAAGAAAAGAAAAATCCACGTATGTACCTCACCAACCATTTAGGGATCTTTTTTTAACCATTATTTTGACAACTTTCAAAAACAGTAGGATCACATTTTCAAAAATGTTCTATATAAAGAAATGCTCTGGAGGCGCCTGGGTGGGTCAGTTGGTTAAGCGTCTGCTTTCAGCTCAGGTCATGATCCTGGGGTCCTGGGATCAAGCCCTGGGTCCTGGGATCCCCCCTGGGTCAGGCTCCTTGCTCAGTGAGGAGTCTGCTTCTCCCTCTCCCTCTAATCCTCCCCCTCTCCGCTTGTGCTCTTGCTCTCTCTCAAATGAAGAAATTTTTAAAAAATTCCAAAAAACCCAAATGCTCTGTACAGGAAGAGGATACTATCAATTTACTTAGGTTCTCAAAGACTCAATTCAGTATATTATACATATAAATCTCTGCTCATATTTTTTTTAATTTTTTATTGTTATGTTAATTACCATGCATTACATCATTAGTTTTTGATGTAGTGTTCCATGATTCATTCTTTGTGCATAACACCCAGTGTCTCTGCTCCTATTTATAGACCGAGATTTCCTGCTGTGGAGCAGAAGACATATTCTAAGGGGAACATAAAACTACATGCTTATCAAGTGACTGGCCATGTGCAATGCATGTAGAGTTTATCACAGGTATTCACTAGAGACTCTCTCCCCAAGGACCCTCTGTGATCTGTACATCAAGTGCTAATCTCAAGCCAGGACATGAGAAACTTTTGTTTGTTTGCTTGTTTTCTTTTACTCTTTCTGTTCAGTACATTTGCATGGAAAGAAACCAGTACACTGCACAAACTATTAAAATTCAGCTGTTATTTCTGTATAAGGCATTAGGGAAAGAATGGAAGCCAGCAATATAAGTTCAAGAGTATCTTCATATTAAATATACTAAAATAAACCATTAATATCAGAATCCAAAGTTTAAAAAAAACTCAAAGGTCTATAATTTAATGAGTATTATTTCTGCTTTAAAGTTGGTCAAAAGAAGGGATACATAAAATAAGTGCAGTTATTCTTTCTCTTTTTTGAAGGAGGAGTGGAGGGTAGAATAGATGAAGTCTCAACAATTTGGTGAGATGAAATGAAAATCAAAACACCAGAACCAACCTATACCTACAAGTCAACACACTTATCAGCATCTAAAGACACAGAAGACCATTAAAAAAAAGTACTACTACTGCATTGGCAACTGTTTTCCTCTTAAAGAATCGGTCCTCCAAGAATCTGAGGTTCTGGATTTAGGATCTGTCCCATTCCCAAAATGCTTTAAAACTCTGGTTTGATTTTGACCTTTTATGTCCCAGGTTGGCCATGTCAGAATGTTTCTTTTTTTTTAAAAAGTAGTTTAAGTACATCTTTTCTCCCCTTCTCTACAAATCCCAGTTTTTTCCTCCCCGTATTTAAGGGAATCAGAGAGAATGAACACATAGCCTATAGACTCAGATTTAACAGAAATGGTTTAAAGTATCAAAGGTCTATGGTCTAAGGGAACTTGGAAGTTCTTTACCTTCCTTAGAGTAATCTGGGTCTGACCAACAGGTAGAACTTTCTTACGTGATAGACATGTCAGTCCCGTCCAGTATAGTAGCAACCAGCCAATAGGGCCATTTGAGTATTTGGAATGTAGCTAGTGTGACTCAGGAACTGAATTTTTAAGTTCAATTTCATCCATTTAAAGTAAAATAACTAGGGGCGCCTGGGTGGCTCAGTCGTTAAGCATCTGCCTTCGGCTCAGGTCGTGATCCCGGGGTCCTGGGATCGAGCCCCACATCGGGCTCCCTGCTTGGCAGGAAGCCTGCTTCTCCCTCTCCCCCTGCTTGTGTTCCTTCTCTCGCTATCTCTCTCTGTCAAATAAATAAAATCTTTATTAAAAAAAGTAAAATAACTATATACGACCAATGGCTACCTTATTTGGTGGCACAGGTTTTAGAGGCTCTTCACATGTACAACTGAATATTTCTGCCAACCCTTCTCTAAAATGAACACACGTATACAAGTTAGTACTAACTCAAACTAGTCAAAACTCCACATGTTCAATGTGAGTTTAACAGACTGGAAAGTTTTAGTTAGACATATAAACAGATATGTACTTTAGTCTAAAAGAAACAAAAAACCCATGAAAATGTTACCTTTTCTCCATGCTTTACAGTATGAAGTGGAAGCTGGCCAATGATTTTCTTAGCTTCTTTCCTATGGCTCTTAGGTAGGAAAAATATTATCACTAAAAATTTTAAGTCACTATTTTAAAAAATTCACATAAACTTACAGAAAAAAATTTCACTTAAAAAAGTTAAATGACTACAATGAAAATAACAACAAAAATTACCATTTACATCTTAATGTATAAAATAGCCACATATAACTTAAGAGCTGTTTGATCAAGAATATTTTCAATTCCATGCCTGAAGAAGAAACCAATTCTTATGTTTAAATATTGGCAAGAGAGCAGGAAGCTGAGGATGGGGGAGGAGGGGACCCACTGATTCATCTACTAATGCCTGTCCCTAAAATGAAAGAGGTTTTCGTCTAGTCAGCAGGTGCAGGATGACCAGAAATGACTACCACCTACAAAGCCAGAAAGAGCGGCTTTTCAAGACAACAGGGTAAGTCTGAAGTTCAAAGGCCTGTCTGTGGAACTCTCTGGCTCTCTGAGTGCCCTCCTCTTTGCTGTGACAGAGACACTACCTCTCTGCAGATAAATGGCTTTGAAAGTCGCCCCACCACAGAAGCCAGGAAGCCCCTCCCACTCTGCTCCTCGCCTTCAGGCCCAGGGTTCTCTTCTCCTTGTTTTAAACACAGAACCAGGTCCACTCTACCTCAGGCCTATTTATCATTCCTTTATGTCTGAAAGAGGGAAAGAGGGTATTCACAGGAGCAAAACATGCAAAAAGTGACATCATTTAAAGGTATTTAATTTCCCACAGAACAGAAAATTTAATGTATTCTAATTAAAAAATTATTTTAAAAAAAGTTACATTAATTAAATAGTACGAATGAAAATGAAATTAAGAATATGGTCCAAAAAACCCCCACAAAACTCTAATATAACTTCAGGGAATATATATGAGAAATATTTATGAATTACCTTTTAAAAAGCAAAGTTAAGAAGAATTACCCATAATTACCTGACTTCCAAACTGTGAGCCAGTATATAGGAAACGCTGTATATAGTAAAATATCAGCCAGGCTAATGAGATAATCATCATGGTGATGAAGGCGATGGCCACAAATACCACAGACTGACCACTGATAAACTCCTGTACATGGCGGGTGCCAACCCCTATGGTCATTTTGACTGCAATGCCTTTCTGCACCAGATCCAAAATTTCTCTTCCTTTTGGGTAGCTAACCATAATGACCACTATATTTCCTGTTCCTGTAGGGAAGAACAAAAAAAGTCCATATGAAGAACGCAAAATGAGATACAGAGAAAGGTAAGAGAAAAATATAAGAGTACTACAACTTGTCCATATGTAACATCCAAAAACTTAACCAAAAAATGTACTTTTCAAGGAAAACTTAAGTTACCAAAATTAGTCCCCAAAGAGAAAACAGACTGACTACATCAGAAGTAGAATAAGTCTCTAATAACTACCCCCCACAAAGGTTAGAGCCCCATTCAATTCCACGGGTGAATTCTACCACCAAAACTTGAAGTAACTGATGGTACTGAAATTGTTCCACAGCAGATTAAAAAAGTTAAAAAAGAAGTTTAAAAAATTATTTCTAGATAATAAAGCCAAACATGGGAATAAACCAAAAGAACCATACAGACAAATTTCACTTATGAATTTTAATACACAATGCCTAGTGGCGCCTGGGTGGCTCAGTCGGTTAAGCATCTGCCTTCAGCTCAGGTCATGATCCTGGGGTCCCCGGATAGAGCCCTACATCGGGCTCCCTGCTCAGTGCAGAGTCTGCTTCTCCCTCTGGCCCTCCTCCCTCTCGTGCTCTCTCTCTCTCAAATAAATAAAATCTTAAAAAAAAAATACATAATGCCTAAAGCATGCCTATTAATCACAGGGAGGCAATCTGAGAATTTCTACTATGATCACTATTATTTAACATTGGTCCAAAGGCATGAACAGACATAATACAAAAAAAAAAAAAAAAAAAGAGAGAGAAGGGGTAAAATAATCAGTTTCTATAAATCTATCCATAAATTAATGTAATAACCATAAAAAATAGGATTCTTTTTTTTTTTTAAAGATTTTATTTATTTATTTGACAGAGAGAGACACAGCGAGAGAGGGAACACGAGCAGGGGGAGTGGGAGAGGGAGAAGCAGGCTTCCTGCGGAGCAGGGAGCCCGATGCGGGGCTCGATCCCAGGACCCTGGGATCATGACCTGAACCGAAGGCAGACGCTTAAGGACTGAGCCACCCAGGCGCCCAAAAAATAGGATTCTTAAAACCTTAAAAATGCTGTTTGTGAAGTTCATTAGGGGAAAAATAATCACAAATCATCAGGAAAACTTTTTAAAAGTAAAACCTGAACTAACATTTACAATTACAGTAATTACAACAGTGTGGTAGTAGCAAAGGAAGACAACCAGAATAAAGGGGTAGAATCAAAAGTCCAGAAATTAGACCCAAATACAAAACAGAACTTAGTATATCATAAAACTGTAATCTTAAATCACTGGGGTAAAATAGATTATTTTTAAAAAATAGTATGGGAATAATTGGGTATTATCTGAGGGAAAATAAAAAAGCTGTATCCCTTTCTCACAATTTATGGCAAAATAAGTTCCAAGTAATGAATACCCAACTTTTACATCAACATGGATGGAACTGGAGGGGATTATGCTAAGTGAAATAAGTCAAGCAGAGAAAGTCAATTATCATATGGTTTCACTTATTTGTGGAACATAAGGAATAGCATGGAGGACATTAGGAGAAGGAAGGGAAAAATGAACGGCGGGAAATCGGAGAGGGAGACGAAGCATGAGGAGACTATGGACTCCGAGAAACAAACTGAGGGTTTTAGAGGGGAAGGGGGTAGGGAGATGGGTTAGCCTGGTGATGGGTATTAAGGAGAGCACGTACTGCATGGAGCACTGGTGTTACACGAAAACAATGAATCACGGATCACTACATCAAAAACTAATGATATACTGTATGATGACTAACATAACATTATAAAATAAAATTAAAAAAAAATAAGTTCCAAGTAAATCAAAGATTTAAATATATAAAAGAGAGGAAATATAAAAATGACAATTTTCCAGAGAGCTAAAAAAGAGCAAAATCAAGGAATCAAGATCAAAAGAGCAAAGAGCTAATGGGAGAAAATACATGTAACATAACAAAGACAGAAAACAATGTCCTGTAAGAGAAAGAGCAACAGAAAAACAAAGGAAATGAAGTCAGTTTGCAGAAAAGACAAAAAATTTTTTTACCTATCAGCTTTAGTGAGATAAGAATTCACATGCCATAAAATTCACCCTTTTAAAGTATAGAATTCACTGGTTTTTAGTATATTCACAAAGGCTGTGCGACCATCATCACAATCTAATTCAATTAACATTTTCATCGCCCCAAAAAGAAAACCTGTATGCCTCTGCGGTCACTCCCCAACAAATAGACTTTAAACACATGAAAAGTCATGGTACAAATGAAAACATTAAAAAGATCTTCATCTTAGGATGCACTGCATCCTGAAAACCTAAGTTGAAAATATCCTATGTAGAAAATGCATTTAATACTGAACATCATCACAGCTTAACCTAGCCTACCTTAAATGTGCTCTGAACACTTTATAAGAGCCTACGGTCGGGCAAAATCCTCTAACACTGTGCCTATAGGAAAGTGCTGACCACCTCATGTAATTTGCTGAACACAGTACTGAAAGTAAAAAACGAAATGGTGGTCTGGGTACAGAATGGTTGTTGACCTTCGTGATCATGTAGCAGATTGGGAGCTGGGGCTGCAGCATCATGAGAGAATATTGTAGGGCATATCGCTAGCCCTGGAAAAGATCCAAATTCACAATTTGAAGTATGGCTTCCCCTGAATGCATACTGCTTTTGTGCCATCATAAAGTCAAAACATTGCAAGTGAAACCATAGTAAGTTGGGGATCATCTGTACCTATATGACTGGCAAAGATCAAATAGTTTTGATCCTCCATAATGGCAAGAGTGAGCACAAATCTGCACTCTTGCACACTGCAGGGGGAGTTTATTACTATAATCTTGTGTGGAGGGCAATGGCTATCAAAAAAATTTCATTCATTTATTTTCCCAAGACTTAAATGCACAGTTCTTTGATCCAGCAATTCCATGTCCAAGAATTACAGATACACTTGCATACGTATACAGGAGCTATCTGTAAAGATATTTGTTGTCAAATTTTCTCTAAATTGTTGCTACCACAGAGCGCCTGGGTGGCTCAGTTGGTTGGGTGACTGCCTTCGGCTCCGGTCATGATCCTGGAGTCCCGGGATCGAGTCCCGCATCGGGCTCCCTGCTTGGTGGGGAGTCTGCTTCTCCCTCTGACCCTCCCCCCTCTCATGCTCTCTCTCATTCTCTCTCTCAAATAAATAAATAAAATATTTAAATTGTTGCTATCATGATCTAAACGTCCATCAATAGGACTACAGTATGAGGTGGCGACTCCATTTGCATGAATAGTACTCAAGATGACAGGAGGGGAAAAAAGCAACATGTCAAACTATGTGGATGCAAGATCTGTATGTCACATTAATTTGGACTGCCTCTGGAAGGAGACCCAGAGAGTAGGGACCCTGACTGCATCTGGGAAGAGGAGCTGGACACAATAAAAATTCTGTACAACGTGTGCATATTACCTATTTGAAAACTAATTTTAAAAATACACTTAAAGGGGTGCCTGGGTGCTCAGTCAAGATCAAGCGTCTGCCTTCCGCTCAGGTCATGATCCAGGGTCCTGGGATTGAGCCCCAGGTCAGGCTCCCTCTCCCTCTGCCTGCTGCTCCCCATTCTGTGCTCTCTCTCAAATAAATAACATCTTAAAAAAAATACATAAAATAAAAATAAAAATACACATAAAGAATGTTCTCTGGCATCACTTCGAAACTGCGCATTACAACAATTTTATTGCAGAGAGAAACTTAATCTGTAGCAAATCCACTGTGGCCCCCTGCCATCAGGATTTAGTTACTGAAACACCAGAAGGGCACCCTTCTAAGGTGGCTCCCGCCTGGAGGCCGATCCTTTGACCCGGGCCAAAAGTGTCACTTAGCAAGAACGTACATGTACTTGTCTCCCCACTCACGCAGTCTGCCATGTCATCACTGGGGAGACACTACAAGGAGGAAGGCATTTCCTGCCTTCAGGAAAACAAACATCTAGAAGCTGAGAAACACAAGCACAGAAACAATTATTATGATAGTTATACCACTTATAATTACATGGCACTTTATAAGCTGAAAGCCTTTTCTCATAAACCTCCTTTTGTGGAGAACTTCAAGCACACACTAAAGTAGGAAGAACGGTTTAAAGAACCCCATGTGCCTGTCTCAGTTAAGAAGTTTTATATAGAAAATAAATCTGTTTCCATGCCATGGTCACAGCTACATAAAACTTCCGGTACTGACATAATGAAATTTGTGTTAATTGGGGAAAACCAACTTTGGAGCACTTTCACATTTATGTCTCCCTTGAAGCAGAGAGGCCAAATTACCATTTTACAGATGAGGGCTCAGAAATCTGAAGAGAGCTGCTGAATGTCATATACCACCTGGAAAAGCCAGTTCTAGGGCCTGAAGACCCAGCTCCCACGCAGTATCTCTGCCCTGCCTCCTCCTCGTGGGGGACCCAGGCTTCAGAATCATGCAGACTGGGTTCAGATCTGTTATCACTGTCTGGGTCTGGAGAAACTACCTTCTCTGAGAATATTTCTTCAGCTATAAAATGAGAATTTTTCTATTTTGGACTACTGCTTATTTACTAAGAAAGTGGAATACAAAGAGCTGCAGAAATGAAGTGATAATTTTGTCTGAGGTGGGAGAGAACTCTTCCCTTGGAAGTACACTTGAGCTACATCTTGAAGGACAGGAAAAGTTTATCAAGTAAACAAAGGGAGGCTTTCTAGGCTGTGAAATCATCATAAAAACATATTTGGGATGGTGACTGGTCCAATTTGATTAGTGAATAAAATATAGTTGTCCCCCTTACCACAAGGGATACATCCCAAGACCTCCAGTGGATGCCTGAAACCGCAGAGAGCAACAAATGCTATATATACTATGCTTTTTTCCTATACATACCTATGATAAAGTTTAATTTATAAATTAGGCACAGTAAGAGCTTAACTAATAATAAAGTAGGACAACTGTAACAACATACTGCAAAAAAAAAGTCATATGAATGTGGTCTCTCTTAAAATATTTTGTA